ATATATCGTGATATAAATTTTGGCCATATCGTCCAGCCCTAGAACGTTCCTTTAGTGCCTTGCATCGACTGCATACATATTTAAGAAACAATGGAACAAGATAGGCTGAAATGAGATGGAGGGAAGAGAAAGGCAGATAAAATTAACTTTACAATAAAGTTTTATTTGTTATCATTAATTACTTCATTAACAATAAACTAATAACTTTTTTTCACAGCATTTACTTGTATGCATTTAATGTTATATTGTGCATCCCTATTAAAAATATCTTTGTTGCTTTTACATTTCTTTTGAGATTTTGTATGAAATTAAGAGAACGTAAATATATTAATATGCAAATTGTGTGATTAATAAGTTATTTTTTTAATCGATTGTTCTTAACAAATTTAGACCACCACCAAATATAAGTTTTGTGCCACAGCTGCCCTAAACTAACAGTATTGGTGTTACCAAAATATATATATATTTGTATGTTTCTGTTATGCAGGGCTCCAGACTGCGACCAAATGGTCACATTTTGTGACCTTTTATTATTATAATTTTTTAAACAATTTTTTTTTTTGTGAGCAGTCGCACTGGTGTGACCATCGCATTGCCCAATTTATTAGCGCGGACTATTTATCAGCTCGGACCAATAATTGAGCGCAGCGCAAGCGCAAGCAAATTGGTCCGAGCTCAGAACAGGTTTACTCGGGAACCAGTGTTGATTACTGCACAGTGCTGCGAGATCTAGTGAGGTACTTACAAGTACAAACTTACAAAGATGCATTACAAGTGTTGTGTATCAGGATGCACCAACGAACATAGAACTCTCCATAAACTCCCTCCATCTGAGCCGCTGAGGACACAGTATTTACATTTCATTTTCGAAGGAAATGTCCTGGAAAAAAATGTTAAAGTCCTATATGTTTGTCCCAATCATTTTACACCGGACTGCCTCACAAACGAGGGTCAGTTCAGTGCTGGAGTTGTGCAAAGGTTGCTTCTGAAAGAGGGATCAATTAGCTAAAGCTAAAGCGCCTTGCTTTGCCTTCACTGATGCTGCCTTCATGTGCTACCAGAATGATCATAAATAGGAATGTGGTAGTTAAAAATTGCATATGAAAGTAATGTGAAGTCGACTGCTTGAATTTGTCAAGCTCATAATCACAAGTGGGACTTATAAAGTTTGTGATAGCACGCGAAGGCACCATGAGACCAGCTATGTTGTTATTTTTATCATGCCGTGCTCCCTGCCTGTGTAATTCATAAACGCGCATTTATTATGCCTAGTACAATCAGATAACTGACTTTTAAACTGAGTATGTTTTCTGTAAAGATAACAGGCTTTTACTAATAGTGGAATGTTTATTTGCAAAGGCCAGCATTGGTATGTCAGAGCATGAGATCTTGAAGCTCCGCCCTCTTCTGAAAAGGGATCCGGGAGCACCGGCTCATTGCATTTAATGGGTCAAACACAAAAACAGTGCATTTTGGCTCATACCCTAAAATTGGCAATTTCAACAAGCTATAAAAAGAGTATTTTGAGCTACAACTTCACATGCACACTCTGGGGACATCAGAGACTTATTTTACATCTTGTAAAAAGGGACATAAAAGGTCACCTTTAATGGATTCAAAGATAGATCACACAAAAGGTTCATCAAAAGCAAGTCTTTGGGAACAACTAAACTATTTGGAAGTCAATAACAACAGATGTGGAAAAGTACATATAAACAATGCCAGCAAGATTGCAAGCGGTTATCAAGGCCAAAGGAGGCCATACAACGTATATAAATATATATATAAATAAATATATAAGGTTTTTGTTATTATGTGTGAACAAAGACTATTTAGTTTCCGTTTGTTATTTGCCTAATAAATGGCAATACATTTTTTTTTTGTTTTAAACAAGTTTTTGACAGATTCCTAAAATATTAGTTTTCTCTCTTTATTATGACAAGTGTTCTAATAAATTTAGGTAAGCACTGCATATATGTACATATACGCACACACAGACACACACATTCTATTACTTCCGACAGTGAATTTTAAAGGGGTCATATGATGTTGCTAGAAAGAACATTATTTTGCGCCTTCACGACATGGCGGTGGCGGCAACAACAATACTAGCGAGAATAAAAGTTCAGGGCGGACTAGAGTGAGCGGAGGCCGGCGGGCTAGAGTGAGGAACAGCCGGCGGGCTTGTGGCAACCACATGTGACGACGCCGGGCTGGACTTCACGACTTCATCCACGGTGAAAGCCAATCTGGCGATCCACAGCGCAAAGTTGATGTATTTCCTCAGCGACCAGCACGGATCAGCTCCAGGCATGACGAAGCGGATATCGTCCTCTTTTGGAAGGCCAAACAAAGTAGTTTCGCTTTCACAACGAAACACACAGAACACAAACACACAGCGCCTTCACGACATGGCGGCGGCGGCAACAACAATACTAGCGAGAATAAAAGTTACGCCTTCTTTCTTTGCGTGAACATTTGGGCGGCGTTATGCAAATCTTCCCACATTGTGACGTAGATATGTGGGGGCGTGTTAGAATGAGCCGTTTTAGGTAGGCGTGGATGACTCTTAACTTTTAAAAATAATATCTCTTTGGATTTGAGACTTTAGTCTTTGCAACTTTACAGATCTTCTGTATGCATTATATGACCCCTTTAATGGTCTGTATCATAGTATCATATGTTATCAGACTTGGAATATAGTGCATGAGTTTACTACATATAATTTATAAATATCTCCTTAAGATGCATAAATGTGTCCCAGTCTTTAATATCTACAGTCAAACAGAAACAAATATAATACTTACCAGAATCAGTGTCTGTCTCTAGGACTGACATATCCATTGTCAATAGAAGTAGAGTTGAATGAGAGAGACACAGACTAAAATTACTAAAACTATTAAATAATAATATATAATAATAAAGTAAACTGTTAAAAAAGCAAATCAATTTCTAAAACGAACTAAAATTAAGATGAAAACAGAACAAAAACTGATTCAAACTATGAATAAAAACTATAATAGTATCTTAATGACACTACAATATCATTGGTTCATAAACTACATTTATAAATGACCCCACTGAATGCAAGTGTTTAGTATCTATAGTCAAACAAAAACAAACTCAATACTTACCAGAATCAGTGCCTGTCTCTGGGACTGACATATCTGTCATCACTGGAAGTAGAGTTGAAAGACATTCATATGCAATCAAGATTAAACAGCACCAACTTTACATTAAAATAATCAGACTTTGAAAGACATTTATTGACTACTAATCAGGATATGTGAGGAGGTCGCTGTGAGTGTTTGTGGTCTTTGTGGCCCTGATCAGCATCAGTACAGTACCTTCGGCTCTTTCAGCATATGTTAGCGTTGGCAGAGAGCTGATGGTTTGAGTCTGAGTGCTGCCAGCATATGTGTGATTTGGCACAGAGCTGCTGATTTCGGTCTGAGCACTCGCTTCAGTCTCAACACTCACAACAGATGTCCAAACTGGCACGCTTGTGCTTGTGTGAGTATGAGAGACCACGCTGGAGCTGGAGAGAGACTCTGTGCTGCTTGTCACATCTGAAAACACACCTGAGAATGAGAGAGAGAGAGAGAAAGAGATTACATGACAACAGTGACTTTTAACGGGCCGGTGAACCTCACAAAACCTGTCAAGAGCATGTCCAGGTCTTATTTCACACCAAAATCAAAAAACAATTTTTTTATATTATTTTCATGACAATTAAACACATTTGCCTCCAAATTATCATTAACACAAGGCAAAAATTATAATTTTCATTAATGTTATACAAAGTCTATTTCAATTGTCCATTATTTATATATCAAATTTGTTGCATCTTAAGCATCTAATGTTATTTCATGCTGATTGAAATTACAACTGTATATTTTTTTGTATAAAACTTCAGTTACAGTAAAGAGAATTGTTGTAAAAATGAGAAAAAATATATAAATGATTTATGCTGAATGCATAAATGTGTCTCCATGTTTATTAATAGTCAAACAGAAACAAACTCAATACTTACTAGAATCAGTGCCTGTCTCTGGGACTGACGTGTCTGACATATCTGTCAACACTAGAAGTAGTACTGAAAGAGAGAAAACACAGACTAAAATTACTAAAACTGCTAAATAATAATACAGGTGCATCTCAATAGATTAGAATGTCGTGGAAAAGTTCATTTATTTCAGTAATTCAAACAAAGTCATTCATCTCAACAAATTAGTTTGAGTTGAATTACTGAAATAAATTAACTTTTCCACGACATTCTAATTTATTGAGATGCACCTGTATATAATATACAAACATAATATAATCTACAAAAAAAAAATAGTAATATTTAAACTGTGAAATATTTATTTATTGAATTTGTTGTACTGTTGAATTGTAAAAATCACAAAACTATATAAATATATAATTAAATATATAAAAAATATATAAGAAATGACAAATATAAAAATTGTGACTAGTGAATGTAATGAGAATTTAGAGGGAAAATGTGTCTGTTTGTCATTAAAAATAATTTAATAAATACATAATACATAAAAGCTGGTTCATCCTACACAAGTGGCTTATCAAAATGATTGTCCAATAAAAATAAATAAATAAATAAACACAATGCAAAAATTCTCATTTTCATTACTGTTATACAAAATATTTAAATTATTTAGTATGTATTTACCATATTTGTTATACTGCCTTTATGTTTTTTGAAATAACAATTGTTCACTGTAATTTTATATAAAAATATGAATTAGTTACTTTGTACTGTGTGTGTTTTCATTTGACAATAGAGGGGTGCAGGTATGACATCAGAACCCGTCTAATTCGCCACTGGTTCCTTCAAGATTTTTCCTATTTTGGCCCTGTCACAAATCACACCCTAAACGCTTGCAGTCTTCCCCTGAGTCCACACTTTCATGACAATGCCACTTTAACTGTCGGGTAGAAGTCTGCTGTTGAGCTCGCCTCAGTGCAAACTCGGCAGAAGTGCGCAACGAGGGCGCATAGCGGCCAAAAAGGGGGGCGCTCGCGAGCACCCTTCTGAAAGCTAAAATGATGAATAGAGCAGGTGTGTTGAGTCAAATTAGAGCTAAACTCTGCAGGACAGCGGCCCTCCAGGACCCAGTTTGGGCACCCCTGCCATATGGTTTCATGGACTTTGTAAATCTGCCATTGTAGGTCCACAAGACGGCAAGTGTGTCATTTAAGACATAGCCAGAGAATGGAAAAGTGCCGTCACAGTGCAAAGAATTGGACATGGGAGCTGCAGTATAGAGACCTGGTCCTGCAGATTTGCTTTATACAACATTGGGAAGATCAGGCCCTTTCTTTCGGACTACTGCAATGCTCTCTTAGCAGGTCTTCCAGCCAATTCTATCAAACCTCTACAACTAATCCAGAATGTGGCTGCAAGATTAGTCTTTAATGAGCCGAAAAGGATGCATGTCACACCTCTGTTCATCAATTTGCGCTGGTTACCAATAGCTGCTCACATAAAATTCAAGGCATTGATGTTTGGCTAAAAAAACACCACTGGCTCTGTATCGCTTTACCTAAATTCACTACTTCAGAATTATGTGCCCTTTAGAAGCTTGCATTCTGCAAGTGGATGGTGCATTATAGTGCCATCCCAAAAGAGGCACAAAATCACTTTGACAGACTTTTACATTAACTGTTCCCTCCTGGTGGACTGACCTGCCCAACTCAATCCGAGCAGTCCTTAGTCATCTTCAAGAAAAGGCTAAAAACACATCTCTTCCATTTTAATTTGACCCTCTAACTCTAGCACTCTCTGTTTCTATTTTCTCTACTTCTATTCCTACTACTTGTCTTCTTTAAAAGAGAGAGAGAGCCTCTGACACTAGCATTCTTTATTCTTTTTCTATTCTTACTACTTGTTTTCTTTATTAAAAAAGAGCCTCTAACACTATCGTTCAACATTTGTTTTCTATTCTATCTTCTTGTTTTCTTTTTATTTATTATAAAAAAATGACCCTTTAACACTAGCATTCTCTATTATTTTTCTATTCTTTTTACTTGTTTTCTTTTTATTTATTATTAAAAAAAACCTTGGTACGTGTACTGCGTTAGGCTAACTGAGACTTGACACAGCACTTACATGTTATTGCCCTTTTGTTGGTTTTGATTGCATTATTGTCCTCATTTGTAAGTTGCTTTGGATAAAATATTCTAAATGACTAAACATAAATGTAATAGCGACTGAGTAGTGAATGTAAACATTTTATATAATTTTATGTTTATATTATTCAACTAAAGATTGCATTGGAATGATTAACGCTGACTGTATCATCAACTGCCATAGCCTTTCTAATGGCCGGTGTGAAAAATGTACTTTTTCCATGCTAGAAAGCTGAAAATGCACACATATTCCACGCAGGCAGTGAGAATAATACAGTAAGTGCTAACCATTCCAACGAGTTCTTAAGTTTGGTAATATAAACATAAAATAATATAAAATGCCTACATTCACTATTGAACTCTCTTATGAAAATGAAGCATGGTTTTACTACAAATAAAACAAAAAACATGGTTACTAAGGTTTTACTATGGTTACTACCACAAATTAACCATGGATTTGCTACAATAAACATTTTTAATCATGGCATTCATAGTAAAACTGTTGTTATACAAATTGTAATCAATACACCAAAAAAAAAACATGGTTACTACCAATGTTCCCTCTAATTTTTTTTTCTAGCTGAGCAAAACTTTTCTCTGACATTTCAGCCGCCTGAGCAAAAACATTATTTATACCAGACCTGTACAGCACACACACACACACACACACACACACACAAAAAACTTTTAACTTTAATGTGCTATTTATATTTGATTTGATCCTTGATGTAACTAAATGATGCACATTTTAGGTTACCTGAGAAAACATATTTTACAGTGCCATGCTACTTACCAAGAAATTATATTTAAAAAAATAATCTAATGCAGAACAGTTCAATTTTTTATTTTAATATAATATAATATAATATGAAAAAATGAAGCCGTTATTGCTCATTAATTCCCTTTTTGAGGTCAATTATGTATTAGGCTTATAATATAATATAATATAATATAATATAATATAATATAATATAATAAAAAACAAATATTTTCAATAAATATTTTCAAAAAACTTGTACATGTGAATTCTTATTTAGTTATCTAAACATCCTTATGTAGTAGAATTTGCACACTACTACACCTATGTGTGACTGTAAATGTCTCGATGTTTTGTTACCATTCTGTTCCCATCATCTGCTATTTCCACCACTTAATCAAGCCACTCTTCTTTAAAACATGATGACGTTTTATGTGTCGGCTCTTGTGTTGATCTATTTCGTCCGCAACCATTAAAGTATTCAATTTCTACAGTGACTCATTTGGCACACATCATGCTCTTTCTATGAAACCTATAAACCGCATTCACCGGTTGTAACTCTATAACGACAATAACACTTTAGCCTCAGATAGCTAGGCTATAGGAAAGGTGACTGTCTCATTGGAAACACTCACAATGACCGCATTCAGAGCCCTCAAGCACAGAACGTGCAAGATCCTAATCAAGACACATGACATATAGATTGTGTGTGTGTGTCAGAAACCTCAGGCACGGAGACACACACTTTCTACAACGCTCACCTGCCTTGGTCTTTCACACAAACTTCAAACAAACAGCTCCTGAAGACAACAAAAGTTAGTGGCATATTCAGCAGTTGCCCTTTTTATACTTACAGGCACCCACCTATGATGTCACAGGCCACGTGGACCAATAGGATGGTCTTTTGTTCACACACATGCTTCAGACACCGATCATGCTGGCAGCATTCCCCAAAGTGTCCACTAGAGAATGCAGCACGAGTTCCCTAAAAGGGGGAATCACATCTGGAAATGTTGTCTGCAGCAGCTTGTTGATACCCGGCCACCTTTGACCACACTCCTCTGCGTCCCTGTTCAGCATCTCTAATAGTAAGGAATCTTCAACTTTCTTTCATTCAAGTCAAGATATTTATTTGTATAGCATCCACAATACACATTTTTTCAAAGCAGCTTTACAGTAAGTTATTATGTTACGTCTATATTAGCTTAATGCTGCTTTAATAGTAAGCAGTTTCTGGGCAATATTACGATATATAATGATGATACATGATCCACCGTTTGAGATCTAGCTATATTGCATTTATTCTTTTAGCAGTTATATCAGTACCACTGTAGTGAACGAGACTGAATACTATGTAATAAATATCTGAGCATTTTATATGAGATTATAAATTATTCAGTTTAATTCTAAATTCAAGCTGTTTTCAAAAAATTATTAAAGGGGTCATATGATGCGATTTCAATTTTTCCTTTCTCTTTGGAGTGTTACAAGCTCTTGGTGCATAAAGAAGATCTGTAAAGTTGCAAAGAATAAAGTCTCAAATCCAAAGAGATATTTTTTATAAAAGTTAAGAGTCAACCACGCCTACCTAAAACGACTCATTCTAACCTGCCCCCACATGTCTACGTCACGATGTGGGAAGATTTGCATAACGCCGCCCAAATGTTCATGCAAAGAATGAAGGCGTAACTTTTATTCTCGCTGCTGCCACCATGTCGTGAAGGCACTGTGTTTTTCGTTGTGAAAGCGAAACTACTTTGTTTGGCCTTCCAAAAGAGGACGATATCGCTTCGTCATGCCTGGAGCTGATCCGTGCTGGCTGCTGAGGAAATAC